CTTTACTTGTTCTCTTATAAATACTGTACAAACACTACGAATAAAATATACTTTTGCAGTATCTAAACATTCATAGTCATTGGTCTCTCATTGGATCAGTGTTCTGATCATCCAGTGTATAATAGTGAAGTACTACTTCTGGTCAATTTAGGAAACAGATAAATGCATCTCTATAAAGTCCACTAGCTATGATGCAACCAGGAATCATGTCCTACAACTGTTGTTGGTCCAAAGATGCGGAAGTGTTGAGACTGCAAACTGAGAAGGCTCATACTGAAGCCCAAATTCACATTAAGAAAAGGCAAATAGATTATAAAACTGTAATACAAATTAATAGATTAAGTATACCTTCTCAGCGTTTGCTTGGGCTTCACATGCTTTGGTGTGCTCTCCAGCATTGAAAGCAGATAAATCAAAATCCGCTGATGGAACCTGTGTAGACCACAGTCGAAGGCTGATTGTGGTTCTGGTCTTATACCCTGGTATGGGAACATCATACGCAACTGCCTTTATATCCTCTCCACCAATCCAATACCTCTTTCCATCTGATCCTGTAGAGACTTTTCCATAGAATTTGATAGGATATGAAACATCATTCCTCACAACTTCCCATGGACTGCCAATCTGCATGGACAACCAACAATAATGAACATCCACATTGCATGAACAGAGTAAAAGTAAATAAGTCATAAAGAAAGAGAAAAAAGGAATATCAGAAGCTCTAAAAACAAGAGGAGAACAGTAAGCGACAAGGATATAAACTGTCTAAGGACGTAAACACATGTGAAATCAAGAACTGAATAAGTAATAAGCATACTTCAAGCCAATCTTCAGCCACCTCCTCCTGACCATCTTTTGTAATCCGTTGCTTAAATAAACCATACTTGTACCTAAGTCCATAGCCCCATGCTGGGTAGTTTAGTGTTGCCAAAGAGTCCAGAAAACAGGAAGCAAGCCGTCCCAAACCCCCATTTCCAAGAGCAGCATCTGGTTCCTGTCAATAATTATTCAAAAATTAACAAGTAGTCAACTCCAAATAAAAACATAAAGACACAACAAGTATGGCATGTATGGCTTCTGAATATTATAACAGTCGATGCACAAAGTCACAAATGAATACACATAGTCCAACTGTTGTTGAGTAAAACACAGAAGAACTTGGAAAACTAGGTTTTTTCTGATGCGTGAAATAAAAGTCACACTGACCTGAGAAGCCACATTTTCTAGATTGTGGCCAAGGTTTTTCAAAGCTTCCGCAAATGCACCAGTAAGCTCCAGATTACCAATTGCATTTAACAATGCTCTACCCTAAACAGTAGATAGGGCATAAATTAAACTCAGCTCGCAAAGAGTTGTTTGTGCATAAATTTCAGAAACTCTCATGTGTAACAGTAAATATACAGTCTAATTTGTCAGCAAATATCAAACGGATTAATTTCTTACTAGATATAATTTAAGGTCACTCTGCACAGTCATACAAAAGAGCAAAAGAGAAAGTAAGAATAATGAGATACCTGCAGAAATTCCATGGATAGATAGTACGCTTGCTTCATGTTCAGCTTTTCATAAATATCATACGTAGCATTCCAATTAATAAGGAGCGAATCACGAACACTTTGAGCTGTTGCAAAGAATGCCTTAGGGAGCTCAAACCTTTCAGGAGAGAATACAGGTGTGAATTCTGCATGGTATTTGATACTTGAGGTAATAGATGCGGCATCAGGAGCAAAAGAACTCAGGTCGCTCTCACCACCTATATATATGTCAGGCAATGGAATAAACATAAATCATGTAAGTAATAAATTGGAAGGAACTAATGGAAATACAATCGTGTACAACAAGTTCAATGGAATAAACATAAATCATGTACGTAATTCCTAAGATCCATACATCAAGTTTCTGATGCTTCATTATTATATACTCCCTCCATAGATCTTTTATACCTTTTTGAAGTGTCGGGTCTCTTTTTTATACTCCCTCCGTCCCATTTCATGTGAGGTAGTTTG